ATTTATCATATTTATAATTTAAAAAAAGTTATAATATACTACATATAATATATATTTGCATTTTTATCCTGTTTATCAGAAAATTTATGGTGTTTAGTAATGACCCCCCAAAGTACGCCGTTCAGTCTTTAGAATCTTTAGATGAACACAATTTATACTTTAGTAATAGTTATTAAGTACTAAAATATAAATTGTGTTTATCTGAAGATTCTAAAGACTGAACGGTGTACTTGAGGTTCAAAACTAACGTTTGATTTCGTTTCTAATTAAATTGATATTGAAGATGAAAAATAGTTATTTTCCGATCAACGTATGAAAAAAACTTTTTTCGGATGCCCCATATCTGTGGGGACTAAATCTGACCAAAGGGGCACAATCACAAGAACCAAAAAGATGATAAAAACAATAACATAAGCAACTGATATACAGAAATAAAATTTCTCATATAATTCAGTTTTAAAATTTGTCTGATGTTTGATTTTTACTGCTGCAACAAGAGGAAGGACAATCTTCATGTCTTCCAATGGTACCCTCGCCATATCATGTTTTAGAGGAAGGAAGAGATGATTGTCTATATTTAATCAGGTCATTTTGTAATTACATTTCGATTTCCTCTTACAATTTCGCATCATTTAAAAAAATATTGTTAAGTGGAATTCATTGTAACACGGTGCTCCGTAAGATTGCGCCCCACGTGATACAAATCGATCATTTTTAATCATTGTAGTTAGGTTAACAAAAAATTACTTAACGATAAATTAACGCTAAATGTGCATGCAAAACAGAAAATTCGCAATGACTTACCTGTATATTATTGGCCGCTCGCAAAGATCAAAACCGGTACAGTAGTGTTACACATTCATTTCATTTATCTGGCACTACTTAATTATGTATAGTCTAACACCAAGAAATAAAATAAAGTTTTTGTTTTTTTCTACTACTCACAAAATTTTATTTACCACACGTGTTCGATTATTGTTTGTTAGTTCTGAGCCATACATAAACAAGTATATGTCCTGAACCGCGGTGCAAATATAAACATTGACGAATCTGAACTTCACTTAACTATAAATTATCACTTTATACTTCAAATTATTAGGGTGCGTTCGTTAACTTCTTTAATAAATCAAAATAAATTTATAAAACTCACTTATTTTTTTAGGAATTTCTGTAAACTGTTCCGATATCTACCGCTACAATATAGACTGCCAATGGGTTGATATTTCTGAACTGAAGCCAGGAATTTACAGAATGAAAGTATCAGTGAATCCAGAATTTAAAGTAGCCGAAATTACTTTCGATAACAATGCCGCCGTTTGTGAACTGATATACACCGAAACTTACGCAAGATTATTCAATTGCAGAGTAGAAAGACCTTAGAAAAAGTAGTATTAAATAATTTCTTACAAAATTATAATTTCCTTATTATCTCCACAAATTTTAAATGATAATAAGGATATGAAACCAACATTAAATTATTATTTTAATGTTTTTTTCTCATTCATTCATTCACTTCAAATATATGTTATTCATACATTGCTAAATTACTTTTAAATAATTTAGATGAATGCTACATCTCTGCATTTATCTATATTAATAAAAAATAATTGATAATCCTCCACAAATAATAATCTTTTTATAAGTTATGCAGAACTACAATTCATGTTCATTCAAAAATCTATTTGTAAGTGTTGTAAAAAGTGCAAATAAAATTTAGAAAAAAAATAGTATTAAATAATATGTGTAAAATAAAATAATTAGAATTTAAGTTATCATAATGTATAAATAAGATTTTATTTTGGCATAATAAAAATGTACCTATGTTATGAATTAATTTCATTTAACTTGCACTTATTATAACATATTATTTTACTATATATTACTAATTATTTATTTACAGATTCAATGATAATTATTTGATTCTATTTGGCTTATTATGAAAAAAGTAAAAGAAATACTTCAAAAGCATTATTATAAAGTAAGGCTCGAATCATGGATAAAACAATTTTCTTTGAATTAAATAAAATAAAGGTGTCAGTATTCTGGCATTGATAATTATGTACGAGTATGAACACATGAGTATTGAAATTCTTAGTGCTATCATACAATATATTAATCAGCCATACAATCGTTAATGCAATTATTACAAAGCGTATGAGATCTATGATTGAACATAACATGCCAGTACAAAAATTAATAATGATAAAAACTGTATTTTTGACTGCCATTTTATATTTAAATGGAATATTATTTATTTCTTTCATGATTTGTTATATTAAAAATAATCATAATCCACAATTATATTCATAATATTCAATTTCTCTACTTGTCGATTTGAAACTTATATACATACATCAATAAATATCTACATATTGCGTAGCTATTACAATAATTATCTAATTTATACACTATCTAGTTAAAATCTAATTTTTTTATTTATCATTATGAAGGTTTATAAGAAAATATTTTTAAATATTTTCCCCGAGTCATTTCTCTTGCTTCCTCAACACCTAGTTGGTAGGCTAAATCATGCAGTGTTTTTATTTCTGATATTAAACCTCTAGTAGAGTGTGTTGCAAGCCCTAAAACATAATTTGATGTAATTGAGGTTTCAATGTAATTCGTAGCCACAAAACCACTTACTGTGCATTAAATCGATATCTTCAGAGGTTAAGGGACTCAGCCAAACTGGTAATGTGCTATTATTTGAGTGAGATGACATATGAGCTGATACATATTCGGTGACTCCGGGGACTAAAATACAAAGAATCGTATAAAATCACTTTTGAGAAATGAGTATGAATATATGTTTTGGTTACTTTGCTCTGGCCATAATTCGGGAGAAGATCTGTCCATTTTCTCCATGCTCATCAGGCTTTCATTTAAAATAGGTTCATCATCTTTTGAAGCATCCTCCTTCTCATTCAACTGCTTTTGTCCTTGCTCTAATTCTTCTACTTCTACATCTTCTGCATCTTCAACTTCTTCTACTTCTTCTACATCCTCTATTTCTTCTTCCTCCCCTTCTGTGTAAATAAATAAGGAAAAATTATAAAATACGAACTTGAACTGGAAGAAATGTAAACTGTATATAAGCCTTTACGTGATTCTTCTTGCGATGCAGGCGGTTCAGAATCTGACATTTTAAGACCTCAACGGCTTTGCAAGGAACTTAATATAGGTTCGGATTTAAATTAAGAAGTTCTTATATTTATTATAAGTAGGTAACTGCACAAATGATCAATAATTAAGGACGGATTCAGTTAATTTTTTAGATATAAACACACATTTAAAATCAAACACAGCCGGTATATTTTATAGTCCACTTGTCAACAACGTACATGTATGAAGTTATAAGCAAATTTTCAAAACTTCGATCAGAGCACCAACATTGTAAAGTGCTTTCATTACCATTTTATATGATAAATTTATAAAATATGATGAATATTTAATGAAATATGATTTCAATGTAATGGAAATATTTTAGATTTTAAATATAATTACTCTCATATTGTTGATCATCGTTTTATTCTGTATTTTATTTCCCTTATGTTGATTTACCTGCAAACTCTATCATTAAGTATTGCACACTTCAGTTGCGTGACTGTTTGATTTTTATTCAACTTGTCGGTGTCATTATATGTTTGTTTTTAAGAATATTTAAGTACTTTAATAAATAGATTTAAAAAATGTCGGCACGTTACGATAGAGCTATCACTGTTTTCTCTCCAGACGGTCATTTGCTACAAGTTGAATATGCACAAGAAGCCGTCAGCAAAGGCTCAACTGCTGTATGTAAAATGCTAATCATTGTATATTAATCATAATTACTGAAGTTTAATAAGCTAGGAAAATAACAGATTTAAAATATTGCTTTGAGTTCTTGTTGTTCAGTAATAAATTATATTCATTAAATATTTTATTATTATGGTTAGGTTGGAGTTCGAGGCCAGGATGTTGTTGTCTTGGGTGTAGAAAAAAAATCAGTAGCAATGCTGCAAGAGGAACGAACTGTACGCAAAATATGTTTACTCGATGACCATGTAGTTATTGCATTTGCTGGGTTGACGGCTGATGCTCGTATCTTAATTAACAGAGCTCAGATGGAATGTCAGTCGCACAAACTAACAGTAGAAGATCCTGTCACATTAGAGTATATTACACGTTATATTGCTGGTTTAATGCAAAAATATACACAAAGCAATGGCCGAAGACCTTTTGGTATATCTTGTCTTCTTGGAGGTTTTGATTATGATGGACAACCTCATTTATATCAAACTGAGCCTTCTGGAATATATTATGAATGGAATGCTAATGCAACTGGTCGAAGTGCTAAAACAGTTAGAGAGTTTCTAGAGAAATACTACACTCCAGAAGCAGTAAGTTATGATGCATATATTTCACATTTACATTAAATTTTCATATATTGATCAATAATATTTGTCTAGGTTGTTTTCTATAATGAAACAGATTTAATTTTATTTATGAATTTGCTGTTCAATATTTTGAGAATATGCTGAATCATTTGCATTTTATGTTTATCTTTTATTTTTTGCATCAGGTGGCAACTGAACATGATACTGTTAAATTAGCAATAAGAGCACTCTTGGAAGTAGTTCAGTCCGGCAAAAAGAACTTAGAAATTGCTGTCATGCGCAAAGGTCAGCCTATGGAAATGCTATCAAGTAGCAGCATTGAAAAATATGTTGGAATCATTGAAAAGGAGAAGGAACAAGAAGCTGAAAAGAAAAAACAGAAAAAGTAATTTAATTGGAACTATTAATATTTTTTTAATTCAATAAATAAATTAAAATATTTTTTTTTTTTCATTGAGAGAAACTTTCATTTTGATAATTAAATTTATTATATATTTTCATTTAAAAATATAGATGATACACTCACCAAATTATGTTAAGTCATGGACAATCATTATCTATCACATATATACTCTTATTTATATACAAAATACAAACAGCTTAAATTTTTCATAAATATCATTCATAATTAACAACTATTTAACTATTCCTAACTAAATAATATTTCACATCATTTATACACTCATTCAATTGTCATCAAAAGGTCATCTCCTTCCAATTTCATGCCCTTTTCAATTTCTATTTCCTTAATTTTTCCAGCAATTGGGGCTTGTACTATCATTTCCATTTTCATAGCTGATAAAACAACTAATGGCGCACCTTTTTCCACAGTATCTCCAACTTGAACTCGAATATCTGTTAAAAATTTAGAGTAAAATTTTATTATCTATTCGGCTTAGGTGATCTAAAATCTGTGGTTAAAGGATTTACCAATTACAGCACCAGGCATTGGAGCACCAACTTGGTTTTTGTTTCCTTTTGCTGCTTTGGGATGCACATGCATTACCTGTTTATAAAATTACATTATTTAATATAAGATATGTCATAATCAAGATAGCATATATTGCGAGTGCATAGCTTGGGGCATTTATTAATTACCTTGACAGCTTCTTTATCTCTAATGAGGACTGATCTCATTTGACCATTCATTTCAAAGAATACTTCTCGTTCTCCACTTGGAGTTAAATCTTCTGCCATAGCTAATGTTTTAATTCCTAAAGTCTTTCCCTTTTCAATTTGAACATCAAACTCCTCACCAACCTGCATAATCATTTATTTGCAGCTTATAATTGATAAAAATGTATTAAATGTAATTTGTATTTTACTGAATTTACCTTTGGGCCTGTTAAAAATATTCTTGTATCTAATTTATCGACGGATCCATACTCATCTCTGAATTGTAAGAAATCGTTGGTGACTTCTGGATACAGGGCTGCTGACATAACATCACGATCAGTAACCTGTAATATTTTATTAAATGATTAGTTTACTGATTCAACAATAAAAAGCAATTTATTTTCTTACATCAGGAAAACTCTCTTGTAAATCAGTCTTCAATTTCTTAAAATCAAAATCTGGTAAAAATTCACCAGGACGTCCTTCAACTCTTGGCATGTCCTTCAGGACTCGAGATCTATTAAGAAAATACTTATTAGCAATATTGTATTAATAAAGAAATTATGTTTCGTTTCGTGTGATGTACCTAAATGGCTCAGGGAAACCTCCATGAGGGGTACCAATGGATCCTTGCAAGAATTCAACCACTGATTTAGGGAATGATAGATCTTCTGCTTTTTCCATTACTTGTTGAGCATTCAATTTATTCTGTACCATGAATTGAGCTAAGTCACCAACAACTTTAGATGAAGGTGTTACCTTAATTATGTCTCCTAGAAGAAGATTAGCTTCTCTGAAAAGATAATGAAAAATGTTAAACGTTTTATATTTTATCTTCAATTAAAATGAAAAGTTTAACAAACCTGTATGCTTTTTTCACATCTTCAAAGAATTCACCTAAACCTAATGAATATGCTTGGAACTGTAAGTTTGTATATTGACCTCCAGGAATTTCATTCAAATATACGTCAGCATTTCCACTTTTCATTGTCGTGGTGCATTCGAAAGGCGCATATAACGTCCGCGTCTGCTCCCAATATGCAGAATACCCAGATATATCATTTAGTTGTAGTCCTTTAAATATAAATTGATTAAAGGTAACAATAATCAATGAAAGTCTTCCACAAAATGTTAAAACCCTTTTTGCAAAATAAACAGTGTCTTTGTTAAGTTACAATCACAAGTTTAAGAAATAATTTGAAAAAGAATTCTTATTTTTAACTCATATTTTAAGAAAAAACAGTTTATCATTAATTGTTTTGCAAACATTAAAGAAAAATAGTTCAACTAGACGCACTGAACTGTTTCAAAATCAAATGTTACCTGTATCCAATTTGGTTCCTTGTAAACTGGCTACAACTGCACCCATACTCGGTTGACTAGTCATACCAGACATGCTGTCGACAGCTACATCAACTACATCAGCACCTGCTTCTGCGCAAGCCAACATGGAAGCGACTCCTGCTCCAGAAGTATCGTGGGTATGAATGTGAATTGGAACATGGGGATGCTTGTCTCGAATAGCTGTTATTAACATCCTATTGAAACAAAGAAGTTTATTTATGTGGAACAGTTCATATTATAAATAAAAAAATATTTATCTTACTTAGCAGCTTTTGGTTTCAAAAGTCCGGCCATATCCTTAATAGCTAAGACGTGCGTACCTAGAAATAATAACAACATAAAATCGCAAGAGTACAAATAAAACCATGATCGTTTCAATTAAACTAATCATTTTCTCACCAGCCTTGACGAGTTCGTCAGCTAAATCTGTGTAATATTTCAAATTGTACTTCGTTCTGGTGGGGTCACTGACATCACCAGTGTAAGAAATAGCCGCCTCGACAACACCTCCAGCTCTACCAGCTGCTTCCATTCCAAGAATTAAATTAGGCAAGTAATTTAGGGAATCGAAAACTCGGAAGATATCCATTCCACATTCCACTGCTAACTCGCAAAATTTGAATACAACGTTATCAGGATAATTTGTGTAACCTACAGCATTGGCGCCTCGAAGCAACATTTGGAATGGGATGTTGGGGATTTGCTTACGCATGTCTTCCAAACGCTCCCAGGGGCATTCGTGTAAGAATCTGGTAAAGGATTAAACATTATTTACACACAAGCATTTCAAGAAGAAATTAGTATAAATTTAGCTCGTCGATTTTCAAATGTACCAGTATTTTTATTACCTAAGGGCTACATCAAAAGTGGCTCCTCCCCAATTTTCTAAGGAATACAAATTATTGAATTTGTGTGCGACAAATGGAGAAATTTTCAAAAGATCGTGAGTTCTAACACGTGTTGCCAGCAAAGATTGGTGAGCGTCACGGAAAGTGGTGTCCATCAACATAAGTCCCTTGTTGGCACGCACCGCCTTCGCAAATGCACTTGGTCCTTCTTTTTTGAGAATTTCTCGCATGCCTTTTGGTGGATCAGTCACTAAATAATACACAAAAGATAAATATTTTTTATTGCCCAAATAAAGTTGTGATAAACTCTCAACATGTTATTAGATTATATAAAATTCTATATAATTTATATACAATGTAAGTAAAGTTTTGCCATTCAAATGTTAATCACATTAAACCATTATTTGTTCCCTTATATATTTTATAGTTATTTCTCACTTTGAAAATTTATTTTCTAGAAATTTCTAATTATTATTTTCTCAGATACATAATTCATCGATTAAGCTGTTTAAGATAGTTCAGAATTAAAGAAAATTATAAAGATATATAATAAAGTTATAAATGGGTAGTACATCTATAGTGCAGTTATTCTAGTAATTAAGTGATAAAGACTAATATAATTATCAAAATATTAATATGTTGATGTCTACAAACTACTATGCAGGAAGTAAAGTAAAATTCTAATAACAAACATGCCCATGTGCATAGTAAGATAATTAAAATAAAGTCCGGCATTCAATTACTACGAGAAAACCTTAAAACTTACTTCAGGCGAATTGAAACATTCCAGATAATAGTTATTCCCAGAACTGTCTAAAATGTGCTATAAAAATATATAAAAAATAACTGATTTGTAAATTGGAAGAATGAAAAAATATACATCCTCACAGAGGTTAGTAAATTTCAAACCAAATATCAATCAGCCTAAAAATCTAATTTATGAAATTAGATTTTTAGGCTGATTATTTTTATTATGAAAGTACATTTAGATAACTTTTCAATTAAATTTTAAAATGTTTAATTTATCAATAAGATAAAACTAGTATTTATAAAATTTTGCCACCTGCAATTCATAATTATTTAAACCACGGTGATTTAAACACTTGCTGGTAAGAATATTTGAAGCTTCATCTTCAAAAGTAATGAAATTTCAAATTTTGTCGAATTTTTTTACAAGTTTTAAATTTAAAAATAAACATTAAAGTATTTATTGTTAGTAATCATGAAAATTTTAATACCATGCCCTTACAAATTCAACTTTGAATGACCGTTGTTATTATAAAAAAAATGAACCAATAAGTTCATGTGCATGCCCCCTTTTGAAACATTTAAATTTAGAGTTAGTCCATAATATAATAATTTTTTCCCTTACAAATGACATAAATAAAACTAGTACAATACCTGATCCTTCACCAGATTCCTCACGTTCAAGAGCTTCCTTAGATAAATCTGCGAACGAAATCAAGTTTCTATTCTAAATAACACAAAAGCAAGCAACACGATTTTTCTTATTAGTGCGAAGTATTTTGTATGTTTTGGCGTACTTTAATCAAATAATATTATTGCTAATAAAATATGTGTCAGAGATGTGGTGAGAGTAATATATTGATTAAAATATGTATTTATGAAAATACATCTCTCCAAATAAGTTTAGAAAATTGAAGGCGTAGAAAGTGTATAGGTAAACTATAAAAATTATGTGACTTATATAAAAGCAGATAGGTAAATTAAAAAGTGCGCAAGAAAATAAATTTATAGTGTTAAATATAGATATACATATATACCTATTAAACTTAAGATAGTAGTAAATTATTTTATGTATAAAATAAGATGTTTTTTTTTGTAAGTATAGCATTTCAAAATATTCATTACTTAGTTTAGAGTGTATTAATGTTTATTATTTCTGTTAGTACTTTTTCAACTTTTCACTTCCCAAACGTCCACAAAGACCCTCTCACCAAATCTTGTTATTGCTCACTACGAAAAGTTAATTAAGACACACACAAAATAATGAAATCTTGAAGAAAAAAAATTAGTCATGCCATATATAAATGTGTTAGCTCTTACTCAATGGGAATTCTGGAACATGCGGTTTTATTTCTGCCGGTTTCAGTTTTGTAGCTAAAGGTGTTGTTGGTCCATTTACTAATACCTGAAAAATCAAATCACTTGTATTATTAAATATTGAATAATGGCATTTGAGTAACATAGCGCGTATTGTGAAAATACATACCTGACCAACATAATTCAATAGTTTCTGAGCTCTGTTTTTAGAAGTCTGGAATTGGAACAGCTGTGGATTTTCGTCAATAAAGTATGTATCGACAGCTCCTGTAAAATAAAACTGGTTGAAAATTGTTTCAAACTTTAAAGAAATCAATAATCGCTTGTTATTACCATTGATAAATTTCTGATTTTCTAAAACGTTTAATAAGAATGGAATATTTGTTTTGACACCACGAATTCTAAATTCTCTCAAAGCTCTGGTCATTTTGGCACAAGAAGACTGGAGGTCACTTGCACTTGAGATTACTTTTACAAGAAGTGAATCGTAATAGGGCGAGATGATGGCTCCGGCAAAAGCTGATGCGCTGTCCAGACGAATGCCCATACCTTCGCCAGACCTGAAGTTTAAAAAAAAATTGCGTAAGTTATTTAATAAACTGCATAAATCAGCAAAAGTAACTGACCTAAATACTTCGATTCTACCAGTGCTTGGCTGAAAGTTGTTAGCAGGATCTTCTGTAGTTACACGGCATTGAATAGCGTATCCTCTTGGTTTGATTTTTTCTTGTGAATAACCCAATTCCGGTAAAGTCATGCCTTCGGCCACTCGAATTTGCGATTGTACCAAATCAATGCCCGTTATTTCTTCTGTGACGGTATGCTCTACTTGCAATCTTTAAAGAAGATAAAGATAATGTAACGTGTTATATAAATTCCAATAGAGTTTTAACTAAATTACCTGGCATTTACTTCGATAAAGTAAAAGTTTTCCTTATCATCGGCTAAAAATTCAACGGTACCAGCATTTTCATATCCAACGTGTCTTGCCAATTTAACAGCACAGGCAGTCATTCGATCTCTGAGAGACTGAGACAAGTGTGGAGCAGGAGCAATTTCAACTACTTTCTGATGCCGCCTTTGAACAGAGCAATCACGTTCGTATAAATGTACTATATTACCCTGTTTATCACCCAACAATTGCACCTCAATGTGTCTTGGCCTTTCGATAAACTTTTCGATAAACATGGATCCATCGCCGAAAGCTGCTTTTGCTTCTGAAGATGCACGTTCGAAAGATTCGACCACTTCATCCATGTTACGAACAACTCTCATACCGCGACCTCCTCCACCGTAAGCTGCCTGTAGTAAACGTTTTATAATTGAAAAAAAATTGAAATATTTATAATCAATTTAGTATGTATATATTTTTTGAAATAATAAAATCAAAATAATACTTTAAATATGACAGGAAGACCATGTTTCAAGCAAAAGTCCATCGCTTCATCTGTAGTAGTGACTGGTCCATCAGTTCCTGGTACTATTGGAACCTCTGCAAAATGAAAAATTAAATGTTTAGAGATAGAGAACAATGCTTGACATCACACAAAATCAATAAAGTTATTTCATCACGATCGTTTTGTCTTACACTTGTTGGTCTTCCACATGTCTATTTTAATCACATGTGTTCTTCTAAGAAAACACAATTTATGCAATTGGTGTAAAATATCAAAACAAAAAATCTAGTATTCCTCATCAATCTGGCATCTCAATAGTTCATGTTAAAACGATTGCAATGTAGGTCTACTACTCCCATGAACCAAAAATAACTAAATATCAGATTGCCAATACTGATATTAGTGACTCAATATTAATTGTGAAAGAACCTGCTTCAATTGCTGCCTGTCTGGCGGCGACTTTGTCACCCATCTGCTGCACAACATAAGGAGTTGGACCAATAAACCGTATTCCTGCGTCAATGACTGCTTGGGCAAAATCTGATCGTTCAGATAGGAAACCATATCTACAATATAATGAAAAGAAATCAATCAATATTTTCGTGGCAAATGGGAGAATATATATACATACCCAGGGTGAATTGCATCCACATCATTTTCTTTGGCTATTCTTATAATTTCTGGTATGTTTAAATATGCCTCTACTGGTGGTAAACCGCGGCCAACCATGTAGGACTCGTCTGCCTTTTGCCTAGCATGGGAAATGTTTGTTATAATATATGCTTAATTGTAGTTTGACTTATTTTTTTGTAACTATGGACAATTTCTTAAATTTTATACTTACAATGAATATTTTTATGACCATCATAATCATTTGTATTTAATTAAAAATCGAGTTTTTATGTTATTCAATATTAATTTATGTTTTACTTGTCTTCCAATGGTATATTATATCAAAGTTCTTATCTAGATCATAATAATAATGGAAAATACAAAATACATATATGATATGTCTATGCCGCACTACAATAACATATTTATAAGTAGGTCATGTAATACTCTTGATATCTAAAAAATAATCCTGATATCTTATAAGTAATAAACAAGATTTTTGTATCAAAGATAGATTGTCTGGATAAGCCATTAGGCACAAAATGCAAATTATATAAAAAAGCATATAATATTACCTGTGCATATGCATTTTGTCTTGTTCGCTGTATATAGCAACAGATTTAATTCCTAATTCGTTACATGCTCGGAAAACTCGAATAGCTATTTCTCCTCTATTGGCTACCATCACACTCCGAATAGGTCGATATTCCACCTATAATAAAAATATAATTTTATTTTTTATTAAAATCTGTATATATATATATACTTGTTATAAATTATCTAAAATATATAATTTGCAAATTACTATCAAGTATTGGATGCAATATGAAAACTAGTGGTGTATGGCATCGTGCCTTATGGCAAATTGCTGGAACTTTCCGACCCGTAACGAAATGTTCCAGGAATATTAAATGTGTTCAAATAGATTAGTTAATATAATATACTGTATACATTGTCTAATATTTATAAGAATTATATAAGCTGAATTAAAAAGTTATAATTATTTACAGTATATAAGTGATCTTTAAAACTTTAGCCAGAATCCAAATTAAAATCTGAATTATTTTCGATATAGTAAAAAATATAAACGACATAGAAAAAAAAACTACTAGTAATAGTAATAGTAATTCAAATTAACCTAAATGCAAATTCTACCGATAAGAATATTAGATTATTCAAAATAATACATATAAAAACCATATGACTGAATTAGTAAAATTAATAAAATATTTGATAAAAGTTGGTATTATAATTCAAAAGTTGAAATGACTTCCTTTTGCAATGTAGTGCTATAATTGCATTTTCTTAATATATATAAAAAAATCTTTTTTGTACAGCAATTCCAACTAACAATAAGAGTTCTGTAAGCTGTTGTGATGATACTTCTCCTCAACTTCTTTGTATTTTTTAAATAAGCAACTACGTAGACGTCCATAGTTATTTATTTAATTTAAATTGAAAAGCAGTCAACGACTTCTTCAGCACTATAGTGTTTCTAAAATAGATATGCTAACACTTTTTTTTAACTAAAATCTCTCAATCAGAACCCAGAGATTTATAAAATTTTGTGTGACCTCAACATTACTATAATACTTGACCTCAACATTACTATTTTTAAGAAGAACCACGTAGTTGTGCATAATTGTTTGAAAAAACAGCCAAAATGAGTTTCTTCCGCAATCTGGTAGGTTACTGTAATAAGTATGCTGAAAGAACATTTTTTCTAATAGCAGTCAGTTCTAAGAATTGTATAAGCTATTTTCTCCTTGACACCGCTTTTTTTTAAGAAGTGATTATTTTCTAATTACTAAGGGGGCTCTTTACTCTTACTCTTATTACTCTAAGAACTTAGGGGGGTCCATTAATTACGTGAGGCTTTAAGGGAAAGGGAGGGTTTAACAAAAAATTACAAAAAATCACGAGGGAGGAGGGGTCTAGTAAGATATTTGTATTAAGATACGTGTATTTATTTTTTACCTAAATTTTCAAAAACAAGAACGAAGAAAGTAACGACTTTTACGTAAATTTGAATAAAATTTTACTTAACTGAAAATACACGTGATATTTGGTGGGGAAGGAAGGGTAATTTTAAATATCACGACGTATCTCGAAGGGGGAGGAGGGTTCCAAAATTCTCCAAAATATCGATCACGTGGTTAATGGACGACCCCTTATGCAATGTCCGGAAAGGCAATTTGTACTTGGAAATAGCAAAAAAATTGTGTAAATCATCGGGAAGTACCGATGTATAATAATATCATCATAACAATTTTGACTCATAATAACTGATTACATTTTTAAAATAAGATTAAATGCTCATATCTTTAATTGTACGTAAACATACGTGTATTGCGTAGTTTCATGAGTAGAAAAGTTATTCATTGATGTAATCACTGACAACGGGAAGAATAATCTATCAACACTCAAAGTTAACCCAATTTTATCACATTTATTGATAGAAATGAATTGATGTAACGCAAAAAAAACGGAATTAAAGTTTAAAGTTCGTTTGCTTATCAACAAGAGTAAGAAATCAAATTCTTTTTGTCGCGATTTGTGCGCCAATAAAATCTAGAGTAGATTATGTAAGATTATGTTTGTAAAGCAAGTTGTAAGATTTTTCCTTAATTCGTTTTTTTTAATACATTTAATTGCAAAATTCATAAAAATAAGAAAAATGCATAATCTGAATTGGCAACTATAGACGGATTACGATAATTAAAGGTCAAGAGATCAAATGAGGTGTGTGCAGTAATTCATTCCAAAGAATTATGATATGCAGATTAAAATTCTTTTCCACTACGAAATTTTCTATATAAAGTAATCAGAGACAATATCCCAAATAAGATATAGAATTGAACCAAGAATAGAAATTGAATGCAAAAAAAAATTATTATACTCTTACGTTAAAAATTCAAATAAAATTATGAATTTAAACTTAAACATGTCCATTAATCACGTGAGGTTTTTAGGGGTTTGACAAAAAACACGAAATATCACGTGGGGGGGGAAGTATAGTAAGATTTCCAAAAAATTACAATTTTTCATCGAAACTAAAAATGCACGTGATGTTTGGTCGGGGGGGAGATAATTTTGAATACCACAAAGTTTCAACAAGGGGGAGGGGGGATCCAAAAATTCTTAAAAAATCGATCACGTGATTAATGGACGCCCCTAATTAGTATGAAATAATTTATAAATTTATTATGGCTTAAGCAATTAATTTAATTTTAAATTAATTGACGAAATTCATTAAAATCAAATTAAATCTATAAAATACTCTTAACAAAAATTTAACAAAATATGATAAATCAGAAAAACACGAAAATACAATGTCAATAATTTAATCAATTATTTCTTAAAATATTATATGTTGCAATAATTAGTTATCAAAATTGAGCAATAAACAAATTGCAATTTCAAAATCAATTATTGATAAAATTCGATTATAATAGACTAATCAGCTAATTAAAAAATAAAAATGTTTGGGGACAAATAGATATATTTTATAAATACATCTTGAGTTTATCAAAAAGACGTTGACCTATCACACACCCACTTTGGATTTTGATTCGGACATTGCAAAATTTTATCTTCGATTTATATTTACGTAAAAAACGAACCTTGGCCAGACGTTTCAGGAAAATATCATCATTATTCGGAATTTAGAAGTGAATAAAACACGTTAATCTAATCTATTGTACAAAGGTTGCTTTATAGTAATGTAGATCCTATAAAAACATTTACAGGCAGTGTCACTGACACGGCGAAGATCCAAAATTTAATTCGTAGTCCTTGCTCCGAAAAGAAGGTCAAAGTAATTGGTAATAAACGATTATATATTATTTGGATTATAGCAATATATACGTAGCCTAATGCTTATGAAATAATTTGTAATAATTTTTTTTCTTCAAATTTGAATTTAATATACTCGTATAGCAATATGTGGTTCCTATTGAAAATAAGCCCATCTTGGGCACTCCGGTGTGAAATGGAAAATGCGAAACCTTATGAAATAAGAGAAAATAAGAGTTTAACTCAGCTCACGAACCTGCATTAGGCATTCATTATTATTATTATATGTTTTCAAGTGAAATAACTTTTCCCCGACGTTACTATACCAAATTAAAAATCCTTACTATTAGAGAAATTTTACTATTAAAAAATATCACATAGAGATAGGCCAACCGTTGGTTTACCACCACGTAGTTCAGAAAAATCACAGCAGCTGTTGGATTAAAAATCACGATAACCATGTTCAAAATTTTGAAAATATGTAGTATTTTTTTAAAACAATAAAACAACAAACACTCAGGTATCTAAAATCAATAAAATTCGATAAGGAAAATGATTCGATATCATTTAAACCATCATCAAATCAAAAGAGTTTATGGCGCAATTAATGGAAAATTCGGCCCAATTCAATGCTAATTGATAATTGCCCAATTTCAATTGACACAACTTTTGTTAAAATATTTTTCGTGAAGTGATTGATTTGTTTTATATGTTCAATTTTTCTATATTTGAAATACAGAAAAATTGTTATTAATGCAAAATAATCCATAGCAATTCAAAATCCACATTCGCATTTGGATAGTACCATGATACTGTAATATTTATTGGCACATTAACTTATATTAACTCTGATTATTATTATTCATAAAACAATAAGTTAATTAGTTGAATTCAATTATTAACACATAGTTAATTTTTTAAAGAAATAGAAATGGCATATCTGTAGAATAAATGTCCTCTAAAAAGACACTTTATATACAGATCAAGAAAACACTTGAGAAAGAAAAAAATATATACCAGATATAGAAAAATATCAAATAAAGATAGGCCAACCGTTGGGTTACCACCGTTGGGTATTTGAGAAAAATGACAGTAGCTTATGGAACATTTATGTTATGATAGCTGTTGGATTAAAAATAATGATAACCATGTTTACTTAAAATTTTGAAAATATGTAGTATTTTTTTAACCAATAAAACAACTATTACTCAGCTATCTAAAATCAATAAAATTCGATAAGGACAATAATTCGATATCATTTAAAGTTTAAACTATTATCAAATCAAAGGCGTTATAGCGCAATTGATGGAAAATTCGGCTCAATTCAATGCTAATTGATAATTGCCCAATTTTAATTGGAACAACTTTTGTTAAAATATTTTTCATGAAGTGATTGATTTTTTCATATGCTCAATCTTTCAAAATTTCATTCTTCACACAAAGTTATTTTTTTTAAAAAAGTAGAAATGACATATCTGTAGAATAAATGTCTTCTAAAAAGACACTTTATATATGGATCAGAAAAACACTTATGAAAATGAAAAAGTAAAAAAATATACCATGGTATATATATTTCGATAGGCAGATATATTTCGATATATAGGATAATTAGGTAAGAAATAATACATAATAAATATATGTAATTTATTTACTTATATTGAATAGATGAAGACAGAGATGTAGAGTATATTCACATTGGAGAATTTTTATCAAAGCCATGAAAATTTAGCAAATATAGTCTCAAAGGATAATAAAATATTCTGATCGACTATCATGGAATTAGAACAAATATTAAGTATATGAAGATTGACAATAACACATTTGAATATATATTATTATTAATGCCCAAGCAATGATGTGTGTGATATTTTATTTATCAAGGAATACAGTATATTTTTAAACTGCATTCTTAATAAATAATACGCAATGATTGATAACGACACGCAGTATAATTACTGAAGTATTGAGTGTGTGCCAAGGACAGAAAAAGTTTTTTTTATTGCAAACTACTTATTTCTAATGAATGCACATGGTATAATATTAGCTAAGGTGATTGTGCTTCATTGTCGTTGTTAAGTTTTTAAACCAACTGATTTGTTCTAATTATGTGATAACGTAAATAAATCAATTGTGATCTTTACAACTTGTTTACATTTGCAATGCTTTTCATTAATAAAGCAAGCTCAATATGTTCTTTAAACTTGACATCATTTACTTGTATCATAATATTTACAGCAATCAGAATTCAGTATCATAAGTGATGACTTCTTATTGACTTGGTTTTATAGGTGGCTACCCAACGGTTGGCCTCTTTTTAGTTGAATTTATTACTACTTTAGTAATACTATACTTTTACTTGGAAACGTACTGCTGTCTATATTTTCAAATAAAAACTGTTATTACTACTGCTTGATATCACTTCTGATTGATAGCCCATAATCTAACCACTAATTCACAGGAGAACGCATCAAATATTGCGACAAAATTTGTGATAAAAATCAAGATTTCATTTTAATTTAGTACTTCATTAATCATATATTAACTTTATCATATATTAACTAAATATATTGAGTTTACTTTAAGTACTTAATATGTCTCTTTTAAAATTCATAGAAAAAAATATACACAAAAGTACAGCCAAATTCAGAAAAAAGCGTATTTTCATGTAACATATGTATAGTTGTATAGTTACTATAGTAACTATAAGTTTTTTTTATTAAAAGTTTTTAAGAAAGCAAATTTAAAAATATAACGATTAAACATACCTATCTGATGTGATAGTATTATAAATTACAAAAGAATTTAATTATCATAATTTTATGATTTTTTGCAATCATGAAATTATATTCAAATACACAATTATTATTAGCGAGACGATTATTTGTTTGTTTTGTAGTTATCATTCAGACCGAAGACAAATATTTTGATAAATTCTCAAAGAATAAATAATACTGACATGATTCAAAATAAGCAACGAACTCATTCAGAAATTATATTGTTAATTTTAATAAATAATAATATATGACAAAACAATAAATGTTATATAAAATAATGCATATAAGATATAACAATCATTTCAGAAGAATGATAAATGCGTTTTGCAAAAAAATTGATCAAAAGTACTAACATAAGTGCAAAAACATCAAATGGTGGATGGTAAAAAATGTATTCGCAAAAATAAAAAAAATGGTTATACTTACATTTTTGGAATAATAATAATTCTGCGAAAGGCTCCAAATTCGTATCCTCCTCGTGGTTTCACGAATATTAAACACTTTACCGCACATCGCCATATTGACTTATTTGTATAAATAAACTATTTATGATAAAAATGTAAAAATAATACTATAGTTATGTAAAATTCGATAAAATATCACATAGAGCTTGCTAGAGTAGTTAGAAATTCGGGCAGCAATTCAGGCAGCTTCTGAAACAAAATCCAAGAGGTAATAAATTTATTTGTCCTAGAACTATACTTACTAAAATTAAGATTTCTTACAGATTAGATATCTTCAAACGTGATTTCATACAAATAAATACATATCACACATTACAACTAATGAATAATCTTAATAGTAAATATTTATTATAAAATTACGTCTTAATTGAATTTGTACTATTGCTTTATGCGCCGCAAGATGGAATATAAATACTTTACTACAACGCAATTAAAATTTATTAATAATATAATTTGTTGAAATTAAAAATGATTTCAACAAATATATTGAAACACAAAGATGCATTTACAACAATGTGTATTTACTTCAATGAATTTCAGCCCTCAAACATGTTCACAAAACTAGAATGAAACAGGTTTCTTAGCATTCGAGAAACTAATCAAATTCTTCCATTAATCTAATGTTTTCTTTAATTCCGATCAGAAGTAATTTTTCAGGTAATTTCAAGTACTGCATGTAAAAAAAATGTATAGTCTTAAAATGTTTATTTTGAAAAGTGTGATAATTTATTAACATACGTTTGAGTGGAAATATTTAAAATACTATCATATTTAAAATTAATATTCAAAGCTTTACCGCGCTAAAAATGCATATTTTTAATAATTATAAACATGATTAAATGAATTTAAAAAACACTAGCAATACAATTAATTTATTTTATATTCAATGGAATTTAATCAATATGAAGCTGAACAGTGCATCAACAAATCAGAATTAATACAATAAAGATTACGTATGGTCAAATGTATTTAAACAATTTCTCAACACTACAAATAACAATGAAGTCAAAATAAACTTTAAAAAACATATAGTATTATAATAGATGCAATGGAAAACAGCATTTTTTATTTTTATACATACACTACTAAAATTCATTTAACTTGTTTCACCAAATCTATTAAATTAAGGACATATACTACTGCAGGAAATAACTTATGAGGTTGGAAACTCTCACTTACTTGGGCAAAGAAATTAAAAACTTAAGTCAAAAAAACTAAGCAAAAGCAAAATAGTAACTACTTTAATGCCATCATTTATAAATTTTGTTTTTTTTTAATCCGGATATGTTTGTATTTTTTTTCTACTTGAGACGTGATTTTGATTCCACTTTCTTTAACAGTTTACTCCTATAATCAAAAACTAGTAAGGCGACATATTTCTATGTATATAGAGCTACTGGTGGACGCAATATTTGTTTTTCTTAATCAGACATGACCCTTGGCATTGTTGACCCCAGTTGGCGCATTTATATCGTAATGATTTACGATAAACTTTTAAAAATATGCTTCTTATACGAGATGTAAGAACATTTCTGCACTAAACATGCAGTATGTAATTATCAATAACAACAAAAAGTAAACTAATAGTAAAAATAGGCAGAGATATAAGGTATTTTTCATATAATTGATCAGAGATCAGGATCCTATAAACAAGTGTGATGATTTTACCTAACTAACTTTGTTGGTCTTATAAATTGGAACCCAAACAGTTTTCCTACCTTCATGTGATGAATTTTATTATTACAATCTCTGAAATACTGATGATTTTTGGGTATTGATGCAACGATGCTGGGCAAATGCTATTTTTACATGGAAACATATGGCTATCTATATTTCCAAGTAAAAACCGATGTCACTACCGCTTGACACCAGGCTGCCTTAGGAGCATACCAAATCTGGAACCTTTGATTATTTAGCTTTAACCACTAACCCACGGGAAAAACCATATATGTAATAATATTTCAGATGGTGAAAGATATAGATATATACAAAAGCTAAGTTTTTTATTAGAAGCATTAGAAAGAACAAAAATGTCTTTAATAGACCTCCATAACTTTCGGGTACCAGTTTGATACTTTTTCAATGAATGTAAATACAAAACTAAGAATTATAATATAATCAACAAAAAACCAAAACTTTCAGCATACACCTATAACTCTTACCAATTACAACATTTAGTGAATAGAAAATTTAATTTTTGGTGTATGTATTTTAAAAAATTAATTTCAACACAAAGGTTCTTGGAAAAGAAGATTTCCCAGACCCCAAAAAATACAAATAATCATGAATGAAAGAGGAGCATCAGTTCCTGCAAATCAAAATCATAAACGATACCAGATATCCAGAAATATGCGTGTGGATGATAATGGATAGAATAAAATATGTTGTTTTCAAAATTAAACAATCAATTATGAGTGGTAAATTTTATTTATGGCATCTAATACGTTGCCAAAGAAAGTGAAATGACGTCCGTTGGTCATCAGAATCGTTCTGTATATTCATAGTATGGGATCAAAGTCTAGAAGTGCACGACTGTTTAATATTCAAAAGCCAAGGTACCTAACTTATGTAGCGTCATTTAAAATTAAAATTCAAAATATTGCAATAAACAAATTCTAAATCGAGGTTTAGACAAGTTATGGAAAATTATTAAGACCAATATAACATATTAACAAAGGTAAATATAAAAAGACAATATGATTTAAATTCATTATTGGCCAAGTTCCAAAAAATATCTGCGCAATATATTATATGCGAAAGGAAATGATAAATTAGTTACTACATATTAAAATATATAGGCGTGACATTTTTATTGATAGGTTGCATTGCCTATTTTCTTGGGAAAGAATTGTTTTGTACATTGTTAAATAAAATATAGTATTTATGTTAATATACCAGTCAATTGGTCAGAATCCTTCTGGATGTTTCCATTCCAAAAGGACGAGAACTTTATATTTTCTTTGTCATTTTTTTTATTGTATTTGTAAGATATCTACCAAGTATGGTTACAAATTAAATGATGATATAAAAAATATTTCAATTATAAAAATGTATAATTATGATATTTATATTATATATGTAATGAAAACCATGCACCTGGCGTGACTAAGCCTCATTGACTTTTGATGGAACAATAGTTGAATCTTCATTATATTTTACATTATAGTGTAGTTTATCATGTAATTTTGAAAATAAATCTGTTATTTCTGCAATCACTACAAAAAAGTGTAATAAACTTCTACTTATCAGCAATACAATATATGTATTACCATTAGTATAGGTCATTTAGACCTCCTGGAATAATAACTTAATATTGTAAATAAAAATTGCTTCTTATCAAAAAAAAATGCTAATTTCAATTATATCAAAAAACTCATTTTTTTGTCATAATTGTTAATAATTTCAATTCTTGTTTCAAAATAAATTATGTAAAAAAAGTAAACAAGATCTGGAGATACAGATATATTTTAGGCGAGACGACAATAAAATTCTCAGACGGCGTATTCAAATGACTTCTATAAAAAAAACGGTTCAAAGCTCAATAAAATAAATTTTCATTGCATCACCCACATATAGCATAATAAAGGTTTTAGAACAAATTTTATGCATGCATTCAAATAAATAATGTAAAATTGGATAACAATGATATATAATGGTATATAAGTGAAGTATGAAATACCTGTTTCTTAAAATAAATGTTCAAATATAAGTTTTTGTAATATTGTAAAAAATATTGTTAGAACCCGATATTCTGTATAATCTTTTATTCCAAACAATGCCGGGCACTTATGTCTGGCTGAGATATAAAAATTTTATAATATAAAAGAAACAGCATTTTGCCTTCATGGCAAGTGCTCACCTCAAGGAAGAGGAAATGCTAAAAAGTTCGGACGTTATTTTTTGCATTTGAAATTTAAGAATTCATTGTTAAAATTCAAAAATTATATTGGATGCTATACATTCAACCACGCTTCAACCATTATATAAATAATGCCAATAGTAAAGTGCTCATATTTACTAATTATTGTACCAGAAAAATAGTTATATTGTTGCAAAATAAATTGAACGCTGATGAATTAAATCGATGAATTATATAATCAAATTATGGTGATGATCATTTTGATAATTATGATTCATTTAATTAAAAATTACAGTAATTTACATTAATATTTTTACCAATACATATTTTTCTAGGAAATAGAGTAAATTGTGCAAGTTTAACATAATTTTGTGGTAGTTTGTAGTATTTCTTATAATGTAGTTATTCAAATTATTATTAGTCAAATCTACAAATCGAAGAATTCAGAATAGACTATATACTGTTAAATACAACTTCATAATAGTCGATTAATTCAAAATATGTAAATATCAAGCAAGTATCACCTGAATTTATAAACTGTGTTGTGGTTATACTTATTGTCAATTTATATGAAATCAATAATGTCAAATGAATAATAACACAACGCCATCCTACTCACCTATGATATATCACAATTCTTCACGTTCGATATAAAATTAACATATTTTATTAAAGATATGTACTCAGTTTATCATAACCTTAATTCCGAAACGATACACTTCACCACCCACAACAAACTAATAGAGACTGCGCTGCATGCTGACAAAACCGATACGAATGTAACTCCGGTCGCAAAATAGACGACATGGAATCAAGTTTGATAAACGAAAATAAACACCATGCTCCACCTTCCGAGATAAATGACAGTTGGAATCCAATAAGAAAAGTTGTCTTAGACTGGTTTTTGAGAATTTTAATTCGTTAAAATGGTTTGTGACAAAATATCAGGCAAATAGTTGTGACATCTCTGCTTAAAAGATATAATAAAACCTGAGTTGTTAATATTGTAAGAGTAGAGAATTGTTAATGCAATTCGAATCCAATGGGAGAAGTTTAATGAACTGAAGATTCTAATAAGATTCTGGTTTGATAATTAATTTGATAATTACCTAGATGCAATAGAATCTACCGTGGGTGACCAACTTAGTTTACTTGCAATTAGTATCAAAGCTTAACTGTCCAAAATTATTTATGAAATATGATTTCAGTATCAAGTTAATATTTTTTAAGTTGTCAGACCATGGTATGACGAGTTTTCTGAATTGTGGAGCGACTAGGGCGGATGCTGAGCACGTCATTAAGGAGTGCAAAAATGGGAATAGGGTCTCTTTTCTTTAAAGCTTTTAATCTCTGCTTAAAAGATATAATAAAACCTGAAGTGGTTAATAGTAAAAGAGTAGATAATTGTTAATCCAACTGGAAACAATGGGAAGAGTTTAATGACTGGTGATGATTTCAAAATTCTAATAATATTCTGATTTGATAATTAAACCGATATATGCGATAGTATCTACCGTGGGTGACCAACTTGGTTAATTTGCAATTAGTATCGAAGATTAATGGTCAAAATATTTATGCAATATGATTTCGGTATCAAGTTAATATTTTTTAAGGTATCAGACCATGGTATGACGAGTTTACTGAATGTCGATCGTTTTTTTTCTACAATATGTAGACTATTTTTAACCATGAATACACTCCGTTTCACCTGAGTAGATTGGGGATAAATAATACCAATTCTAATTGATATTGCTTGGGTGGAGTGACTAAGGCGGATGCTGAGCACGTCATTATGAAATGCAAAAAAATGGGGAAGAATAAAGAATTATAGATGAAGATGGTAAGGCAAAAAATCTCCTCCCAACCAATAATTTTGTACACATTGATATTACAAAGTAATGTATCTATGATGCACTATATTAATACAAAAAAGGATATGTGATGCACAATATAATTATAATTTTTTTTGATTGATAATATATAATATATATATATAATATATAATATAACAATCAAAAAAAAATTTTAATATAATTCGTATATGAATAATGTACGTGTAACAACAATAAACAATAAAAAACAGCAGAAACAGACATTATCAGAAATGTAATATAATAATCTAACGAGGTTGGTTGGTTATTGGAAAGCAATCACCGATTAATTCTGGCCTAAAATTCGAAATTTGGTGTGTAACGTACACGTTTGCAGTAATAAGTCAAAAACATAATTTACATCAAATTACAGAAATAAAGTGAATGAAAAAAATTATAGGAATCTTCATTATCATATACATAGATTTATGTTATTTATATTTTATATCTTTATTATCTATGTACAAATCTTTTTATTACTTATTGTTATTTGTACTTAGCGCCCTTACTATTAGTTTTATATTGTTGGCAATAGTCATGACATTTCAGACACGTGAACTTCAAATTCAAAAATGTCAGTGCATCAAATTGTTAACCTATAAATTTATGACTTTTTTGCAAATTTAATAGCTTATAATAATAATATTTAAGTTAATTTTCGAAAACTTGTGCAAAAATAGTATTTCAAATTTATTTATTTTCGATGTATGGATGTAAATAAATCACAGTGGCCAAACGTCAAATATTTCATATAAATTTTAAAATATCTAAATTGCACAAAGTATATCCATTAACAATATTTATTACAATATGAAGATTATTTGTTATTTTTGAAGGCCTCTTTAAAATCTGTTAATCACAATGTACAAAAATTTAGCACTTGCTTTTAAATTATTAAATAGAAATAGTTTTTTTATAAGCCGGGCTTTGTAGTACAAATATTACAACAAATTCGTATTAATTATTTTTATAAACGCGATACATTAGCATCTAGTTCTTCAAAAAAAATATAAAAATTATGAGCGTGGGAAAAGTCAATATAATTATTTCTTCAACAAAAATCAAAAATAGATTTACAAAATTAGCTGCTGTGTTAGGATTAACATTAGCATTATGCAATTCTCCCGATATGACTGGTAAAATCTGTATTTTATTTTGTAATATTGTACTAATCACGAAATATGAATGTTGTCCAATAATATTCACAGCTCCAAAATTATTAAAAAGCTGCACAACAAGGAAATATGACGGAGCTAATTTCTTATTAAAAGATAAGATTGATTTGGATGTGAGGCATCCCCTTGGGTGGACTCCTTTGATGGCAGCCGCTGTTAATGGCAAAACTAATGCAGTTTTAGATATTAAAGGCAGGAGCTCAACCAAACCTTCAAGAAGAATTCATGAGCGTTCATAAAACTGCAGATTTACATGGCTTACATTTATTAGATGGTAATTTAAAATGGACATAAAAATCACTACTAATTGAGAAATTGAATTAATATTCTGAAATATATTTATGTGGAAAAATATTAAAATTAAGAGAATAAACGTACTAAAGATTGTGTCAATGGCAATGCAAATTGCATAAAAGATGCAAAAATTTTAAATTTGTTATGAATTTATATATTCAATTAATAACTGATATCTTAATTTTAGTTTTAGCAAAACGAGAAGAAGAATTCTCAGCGAGATTAAGCCATCGTGATCATTCCAGGGTTTTACTGCTCTGCATTATGCAGTACTGGTAGATAGTTTTCCAACAGTAAAAGCTTTGTTAGACAATGGTGCAGATCCTCTAATTGTGGATCATGCAGGAAGGGAAACCTATTCATTATGCAGCAGAAGGTGAAACAACAAAAATTATTGGCATCTGTTTCGAAAAGGTGACATATAAATCATGAAACAAGATTTTATCATATTTTTCATGTTTTATTTACCATTTCATCTAATAAAAAATTGGTTTACTCTTACATTCATTAAAAATGAATGTATATTAATATAG